CAGGGAGAGGAAGCCAATAGCCCGCACCGCAAAGAGCTGCTAATTAAAACATTTGGCCAGTTGGATGTATAATCAGCTTCTTGAGACGAGTTTACAGCTGCTGGGCTCCTTTGGAAACGAAGACAGACTCTTACAAACGGCAAAACTGACGCTTGCAGATTGCATGTGGGTTTCTCAACCTCAACACTTTTGACGTCGGTTTGAATGATCCTCTGCTGCGGGGCTGCCCTGTGCAGTCTTCATTAGACGCCAGCAGACCACCACCCCTCCAAGTTGCGAGAACCAAAAGTGACTTCAGACATTGCCCCATGTCCCCTGCAGGCCACAGTCACCTCTGGCTGAGAATCACCGGATTAGATGAATAAAATACCATGTCCTCTGTATCCTATACAATAGATTAAAAACCTCTTTTCCCTAAAATTTAAGTGACTGGGTTCCTAAATCTTCTATCACTTGATTATAAAAAAAAAAAACTATACAAAGCGATCAAAGACTGGGTGTATAAATACAATATGAATCATAAAATATGTTCGCTTCTTTTATATAGATCACTTTTTGAAATTCTAACATATCTGGAATAGACAACAGTACAGAATAATAAATAATGCATGGGTTTGGGGGGGTTTTTTGCTGAAATTAAAATATTCTTTACCTGGAGAAAAAGCTATTTACATTTTATGTACCATGAGATACATACAACATAGCATTATAATAACAAGCTCTCATTTTGACACCAGAGTTTCACGTCCCTGCACAAATTAAAATGCTCCCCAAAGGCATAAAGTACACAAGCTTTATTGGGCAACAGCAACGGGCCACGCTGGCAGACAATGAAAAGAGAACCGCTCAGAATCTCGCAGGATCACATGTGTGTCATCACAGGATCAAGAATTTAAATCATCTGGGAGCTCCTGCTAAATTAAAGCTCTGTACTATCACTTCCCTCTAATCAAAAAACGCTGTCCTGGTGAGTATTTGCCATGAGGATTACAGATAATCTACTAATGAGGACGTCAGAGTCCCAGAGGAATTCACAGTCAGCCCCATGGCAACAAAATAATAAACGAGCCACAATTTTTGTGTTTTTTTTGCAAATACCACGCCCCCTCCCCACCTGCCCCCCAGCAAACACACTATTCACTGACATCGCCCAGTGACACCAACAGACTGTGTCTCCAACCATACTGTGATGGAGAAGACAGATTCCCAGGAACGCCTGCGCTGGTGTGAGAAGATGCTGAGCATCTCCAAGTACTGCAGTGCTGCTCACGTGCTTATCGGTTCCATCCAAGAGCATAATAGATATATTTTTCCAAGACACAATGGACTTAATTAATGGAAATATTTCCTAAGACATATATATAAACGACCAAATAAAAAGCTTTATGTTAAAAGAAGGGGGGAGAAATAAAGTCTGTTGTCTTTGCAAAGCTCCTTGTATATTTCTTAATGAAAAACAAAACTGTGAGTGATAGGATTTTAACGCAGTGAAAACCAAGTATGTCTTCAAAACACTTGAGGTGACATCACATACTCACACATACACACGTTGCAAACACACCAAAAAGATCCAAGATAAAAATGGCTGATAGGTGTTGGCCTTGAGTAAGATGGAGCAGAAGAACACGTAGGTCCCATCTGCAATTCTGGCGCAGGTTTAAAATGCTGCCCCATAAAGGCGCAAGGGCATTCCTATCCCCACCCCGGGAAAAACAAAACAAAGTATAAAAGCAAAAGTCTAGAGAAAGAAAAACAGGCATGATCGTGTCAATTTCCAATGAGCACAAAAGCCCAAAATACATTCAAAAGTACTGTCACAGGGCTTCCCTGGTGGCGCAGTGGTTGAGAGTCCGTCCGCCTGCCGATGCAGGGGACGCGGGTTCGTGCCCCGGTCCGGGAAGATCCCACATGCCGCGGAGCGGCTGGGCCCGTGAGCCATGGCCACTGAGCCTGCGCGTCCAGAGCCTGTGCTCCACGACGGGAGAGGCCACAACAGTGAGAGGCCCGCCTACCGCAAAAAAACAAAAAACAGAAAAAAAACTGTCAGCATAACCTAAATTTTCAGTGGAAAACATACGGAGGAAAGGGTAAGCAGATGTTGGTATTTAAGATCACTGCTAGGAAAAAGGGCTTCACTTAAGGGAAGCGAGTCTGGGATCTGGCTATAATAAAGCTGAAAGTGGGAGGAAGCCCAGCTCTGGGCCTCCCAGCTCCAGGTGGCTGTAAACAGATGGTCTGCTCCAATCTCAAGATGCTCCCTGGGATGCCCTTCGTCGCTTTAGCGTGAAGTCCTCCGCCCCAAGCAACCCAACTAAGTGCAGCCGGTCTCACGGAGCACCGTAAGCAACACACACACGCGTGTGCACACGGAGCACCGTGAGCAGCACACACACGTGTGTGCACACTCTCCAATTAGCACTGAAACGGGCAGATGCAAGAGATCACTCAAGATGGAGACACTTGTCTGGTCATTTTCCTAGAGAAAGGGAGGGGAAAAGAGACACCAAACAGATTCCTCGCTTTCCCACACACACAACCATCACCAAAAAATATAATAAAAAGAATCATCAAATAATAAAATTAAGTTACTCCGACAGAAATACCTAACGTTGTCAAAGCGCAGGGGGAGGTGTAACTTTCACTTTGAGGGAAGTGTTTAAACAGCGCTGATGGTGTGCCAGGGGCCTCTGGCTGCCGGAGACTTGGGGCCACTGAGTTCCAAGGCGAGGGGACCTCCAAGGTGTCAACGGTGTTTCCCAAGTTCCTTCCAGACTGGTGAACGGAATCCTTATGCTTTTTAGGAATTCAGCAGTTTCCTTAAAATGGCTTGGATTTCTTGTCTGTGTCTTTGTCTTCTCCCCACAGCTAAGCTAACACGGGAAGTGCCTGTGTACGCAGATCCTCTGTTGGGATTATGGGCTGATGTGCGCACATCAGGATCGTGTACACTCAGCTGACTCGTGGCTCCCGCCACGTGGGTCTCCAGAGTTTGAGAAGCACACGTGTGTTTTCCTAGACACTCCGGACCCCGGAAGATGGTGGGAGCAGGCTGCCCCCTGGCAGGGTGGCTCTCCAACACGGTCACGGTCCCCACTTGCATTTCAGTCCCTCTCACCCTTGGCCGCCTCCACCAGGGTACGGTCGAAAGGCAGAACGAGGGGGTCCGTTGACGGCACAAACGCACCTGCGACCTCCAGGCACAGCTTCTTCTGCTCCTCTGGGACGCCTTCTCCCTCCCAGATGCCAAGCCAGAGTTTAGGTGTTGACTTTCAAAGTCAACCCAAGCACCTCGATCAAAACTGGGAATTAAGGAAAAGACCAAAGAGACTATCTTCCTTCCTTGTCACTGCTGGAAACATCTAAAAATTTCCATGAGACCTACCTGTAGGAGCCATCACCTGTCTGTGAACAAGGTCAAGTTCAGGGTTTGAGAGCTGGGAGTAGAAGTACCTTTAGACTTCCGGTTATACAGGCTGACTTCCAAGAAGACAAACAGGTACAAAAACGCTGAGCACAACGTCCTCTCACTCCACCTCTGAAATCACATAAAATCACCCAGCAAAGACGTCAGACCTGCTCGCCCCTTCTCAAAGTTTTGGACAAAGATCCTCTTCCTGAATAACCATTCATTCAATACAACATTTACTTCCCGTAAATGTTTTCTGTGTGGCAGAAATGGCTGGGACAGAACGGGAAAAATCCTGCAAGACTGCAGAATCTTAAAACTAAAATAGAAGTGATGTCATAGCCAATTTCGCAGTGCCTGCAACTTACTGTCATTCTATAAAGTTTTAAAAGGGCAACAGAAATACACGAGCTATCGAGTGCTCCAAAGTCAAGGGCCTCGTGTCCCCAGCTCTCCAAGAGCAGGCTTACCCTAGAGTGGTAGCCATAACTTACATCTCTGAAGCACATGAAGAAGAACCAGGCTGAAGGGCTGGAGGGTATGTACTCATAAAGAATTAATCACAAATCTAAGATCTCGAGCACGATCAGCTCTTGCAGATCCACCAACCTAATCCTCTGGCACACACATGTGGCTTCTGCCAGGAGAGACGTGAAAACCCAAGAAAGCTTTGCCGGGCCACATCCAGCGCTTGAAAATTCTCTTCTTCCCCTGAAACAAGAAGCCACAGCTTTATAGGAAACACACATGCGTGGGCCCCACCCTGGTGGGGAGAGGAATCTCTACTCCTGGCTGCCTTCCAGCGAGTTCCCCTTGAAATCTGTAGGCAGCGCAACGGAGCCCAGACCCCAGAGCTGCAGCCCGGGCCTCCTTCCACTGGGGCTCCTCGCTCGAAGCTGCCACTGATGAATGGCAGCGTGCTAAGACGCCTCTGCCTTTGTCACTGTGTCCTCAGTAATTCCTCCTAACAGGAAACAGATTTCTGTGGACGTAAAGAGCCCCAGTCCCTGACCTTTCCACTTCAGACTCAGAGGGTCTGAGTCACATGTGCTACGTTGCCTAAAGAATTAGCTGAGTCTCTTGTCACACTGTTGACACATTTAGGGGCCGTTCAGTGGCACGTTTCCTGCTAAAACAACTCTGCTGAAAATGTCTCAGAGTGTCCTCAGATAGCCACAGGCTTTGTAATTGTTACCAGATCCGAACAAAGCAAGATAACACCTTTGAAATTCTCTTACGAGGTGACAGGTGATGTTAACTCCAAGGCCACAGATGCTGAATTGGAGGAAGGATAAGGTACCGGATTTACGGTTCTCTCTCTCTTCTGCTCTCTTCTCACGTGGTTTTCTGTAATCCTAGGAATCCAGTGCCGTTTCGATAAGCAGGGCTGCCTTAGAGAGGATATTTAGCATTTCCAAATTGAGATTATTGTCTGGTTAACTTCTTACCAAATGTCACCGTCTTTTCCCCCAAAACCTATACTGAGAGCTTTATCTTTCTCTGAAACCAGGTTTTTAAGAGCAGAACGACATAAAAATGCACACACATTAGGATTGTTTAAAACAACAACCAAAAAACCCTCTACCGTCTTCGACTAGACAGAAACTTTTATCATGACAACAAAACTCAAGTCATAAGGAAGCCTGCACAGTGACCCATGAATACATCTCTCGGCTGAGTCACCGGTTTTCACATAGTCACATTCACTCGACTGTGAATCACCAGGGGCTCAGACCCCCGTGTGGGGCCCTCTTAGGCGCCATCCTCCTGTTTATTCGGTGTCGGGCTCCGTGGAAGCGCAGCGCCTCTTCATATCAGAACTGCACGGGGGAGCCACCACTGCACAATCCACGGGTGGTGGTTAATAGAAATGCAACTTGAACTCTGTCCGCCAGGAGAGTGCGGAGACCGGGGTCCTCTCCCGAGTGCACGGCCTAGGACGTGAGCTTCGAGTAGCTGGGAGGGGAGAACCGCCTTCGCAGGTACTTGAGGACATAGAGGGGCAGACAGCTGACCAGAGTGATGACAGACACTTTCCACAAGAAGGACAATGTGGCAATGAAGTACACGTCTGCAAGCAAACAGAAGACAGCAGTGAGCGGGCAGGAACATGCCGCCCAGAGCCGGCGGGGCGGCAGGGCCATCGGAGGGGACGCGGGCTTCTCTCCCGCGGGGGATGTGCTCATAGCACCCAGGCTGCCAGCCTGACTTCCCTTCCCTGTCTCTCTCCTCCTCTCTCTGACCTGCTTCTGGAGCTTCCGGACCTTCCGTGAAATGCTGTTTTCAACAACTCGGAAAAGAAAACTGGGCAAAAAAATCCCCCTTCCAAGTGTTTTTGATTTGGAATCTGACAGCTGGAGTTTTTCTTCCTAATCCCGGCAGAAAGTGACGCTCAGACACACTGTTCTTCCCAGCAACTTTTCCCCTTCGCCTCAGCAATGGTCACAGAAGCCAGAGCCGGGTCTGAGGGTGGTGCAAAGGGGGGCGGAGACCCCTCGTCAGGAACAGTGTGACCTGGAGGGGCGGGGAGCTCTCCTTCCTGCCGCCACACAGTCAGGCCTGCAGTTCCGAGGTTTTTGCAACAGAGGAGCGACAGCTAGTGATTTTCAACAGTACCGGGAGTGGATGCCTGGCAGCCGCCTTCCCTGCCTCTTGAGCACAGGCTGGGGGAAATGCAGCGGGCACTGAGTAAGCACCTACTAAGTGCCAAGCCCAGAGCCCCAACCATGGGCCCAGTCCTATGACTGGTCCACATCTAAGGTGACGACCAAAGCTTCGTGAGGGCAGAGCTTGCATCTTCTAAGCCTGTGACTCCCTGGCCTCAAGCCACTGAGCGCACAGTAGGTGCTCACAAAACCTATTCAGAGAGGCTTTTCAAACAAGTGTGAAACTGTTCTAAGACTTCACTTTTCACGGGAATGCTCCTTTTTCCTTTATCAAAACCTTCTTAAAGAGCGTTTACTGATAAGGAAGAGGCGTGATAGAAGATGCTTTCACGACAAGGCAGAGTTTCTCAAGCTAATAACACTGGTAAGTCCTGCTGGACTGTCATTTACCCTCTGGATTCTCACCATCTCCATAGCTCCACGGAGCCCAGCACAGTGACCAGCTCCCTGGAGAAGCCCCCTAGGTCCTTGCAGGACTGAACGAATCCCCTTCTAAGCCAGCAGGCACGGCGTGGTTTTAAAGAAAACACTCTACATTAAGATCATGCCCGCCAGCCTCAGTTCCAAGAGGCTGATTCTCAACTGCCACTTGTCCCAAGGGACGCCAGTGAGCAAAGGGCGGGCAGCTGAGTACCAAGGCCTGCTGGTAAGACCCTTGGACCTGATGTGCAGGGGGGTCTCACCGATAAATTCGTGGAGGAACACCAGGGAGGCGATGTAGCAGGCCAGGCTGAGCAGCTCGGCCACTGTCATGAGCCAGTGCCAGGTCTGGATGGTCAGGGCCACCATTAGCAGCTCCGTGAGGATCAGCGACGTGAAGGAAATCGCCACAATGTGCACGAATTCCGACTCAAACAGCAGCAGCGCCCCGTACATGATGGTGCTTCCTGCAAAGGCGGAGGGAAGTCTGGGTGGGGAGGGGCCTCTGCTGCCCACGCAGCCCGCCCTGCTGGGAGCCGATGCCTCCCCCTCCTTCCCCACCGAAGGCTCACCCTGCTCACTCACATCTGACTCCTTTTGTTTTTCCCGTTCAGACATGAAAGGTACCATTTGTTAAGGAAGGCGAATGAGTGGTACTTTATGGAGGTTTGAAAGAGAGGCCTCACATTCTAGTTTTCCTATGTTCCCTTTCGGCTGTATATAAGAGAGAGTTTACGTTTATTTTTTTCTTAACATCTTTATTGGAGTACAACTGCTTTACAGATGGTGTGTTAGTTTCCGCTGTGTAACAAAGTGAATCAGGTATACGTATACAGATGTCCCCATATCTCTTCCCTCTTGCGTCTCCCTCCCACCCTCCCTATCCCCACCCCTCTAGGTGGTCACAAAGCACCGAGCTGATCTCCCTGTGCTATGCGGCTGCTTCCCACTAGCTAACTATTTTCCATTTGGTAGTGTATATATGTCCATGCCACTCTCTCACTTCGTCCCAGCTTCCCCTTCCCCCTCCCTGTGTCCTCAAGTCCATTCTCTATGTGTCTTTATTAATAGAGAGTTTATAATTGGATAGAGAGGGAGAGGAAGAGACAGAGAGGAAAAAAAGGAAAAGAGGCAGAGAGAGCAACTATCTGGATTGGGTGGAACAAGAAATAGAAGTTTTTGGGTATTATTTTAAATGACAGATGTAGTCAGCCACAGAAGAACAAATACTGTACAATCCCACGTATATGAGGGATCTAAGTAGTCACATTCATAGTGACAAAGTAGAATGGTGATTACCAGGAACTGTGGGGAGGAAGGAAAGAGGCATTTGTTGTTGAATGGATACAGAGTTTCAGTTTTGCAAGATGAAAAAGTTCTGGAGATCTGTTTCACAGCAACGTGAACATATGGGACACTACTGAACTGCGCACTTAAGAAGAGTTAGATGGTAAATGCTATGCTTTGTCTCCTTTACCCCCCTCCCTGCCCCCAAACACAAAAAAATGATAGGGACAACCAAGAGAGACCCTCAAAGAATTACGCACCTGCACTGAGGAGAGAAAGGAAAGTGGGGGAGGGTCCAGATAAGTGCATTTTCATCCAGAACTGCGGGAACTCAATGGGGAATGTCTCACGTTGATCAAAAGCACTAGCTACGTGAGATTCCTGCTCAAGAGCAGGAGACCCTAAACCCCAAAACCCCTCAAATGATGGCCTATTACAACAGTGCTGGGGATGCAGGGGGTGCAATGAAGCACCACTGCTTGTTATTATGAACTTCCATGCAGGATTTGCGTTCTTCAACCAGCTACATACATGTCACTTTGCTACACTTCTCAAAAAAAAAAAACAACAACAACCCTCAAATTGTTTCAATGATAATTTAGCCCCTAACAAATTCAACGGTCTACACTTTTTGACCACACATCCCATCAGAAAAAAACACTAAGAATGAATCCCTAATGGACGATGTGGATTTGTAAATTATCCATGTGTACCTGTGCAGACAGACATAGAGAGGTAGCAGGACCACTGTGCAAATGTGTCAGGTACATTATAAAACATACATGACAACAGAAGTTCTAAAAAGAGGAAAAAATAAATACGAAGAGAGGTTCTGACATTTCCTTTTCATATTCCAGTAAGTCATCTCACAAAGCCTGTACCGTCTGAGGGACCCTCTCTGGAGGCCACAGAAGCAAATATGTTGTTCAAGAACTACAACTTGACTTCAGAAAAAGTATCAGAACATTCCAGAAAGCGACCACTTTTTGTTACAATGACTTGGACACCCCAGCAGGGTTTGATTAGTATTAGTTGTACTTTTCTCTGACTTTGTCTCAGTTAAGCGGACAGCACCACCTCACGTGTGACTCTGTGCCTGATGAGCAAGGCCTTAGAACCCGAGGAGGGGGCTCCCTCGGACACAGTGCCACACTCCTTACTGCAATCTCGGCATTCCAGCTGCTTTTCTTTGTGTTCTACAGACAAGAGAATGGTGAAGTTGACCCTGGGGCCAAGGCCAGAGCATAAGACAACAGGTGTTTTCACCCGTCCTTACCTTGATAGATGCTGATCAAAACCCATATCAGGAATGTCTTGTAGGACAACGGCCGTCCCTGAATGAGAGAGAGGAAGACAGAGCGGGCTAGCGTGCGGGGCTCATCCAGGGCACGAGCCACCGTCAGGCTACCCTCCACCAACCAGACAAGGAAACCTGCCTGTTTTCGTCAAAACAGTGGCTCACACACGTCAAAATACATTAAAGAAACGATGTTTTTTTAAAGAGAATTGGTATTAGATGGAAATATTGGGTTGGCCCAAAAGTTCGTTCGGGTTTTCCCGTAAGATGTTACGGAATAACCCGAACGAACTTTTGGGCCAACCCAATAAATCTGCTCTTTATCAAAAACCCCTTGAGGACCAACAAATGCAATCACACACACACACTTTTCAGGATTGTACACAAAAGCATTTCCAGGAACAGACACAAGTTGCAGCTACAAAATGGAACTGTCAGGTGCTTTTTAAAAAGGCATTAGGAGGTTTGTTTTAAAAGCTGACATATCACTGTACAGTTTAGTATTCTTTACATGTGCGTATCGTACTTTAAGAAAAGACATATACTTCCACGCCTTCCTCTCAAAACAAAGCCACCAGTTCAAGTGTGTTCACATCAGACATGGAGGGTCTGTGTGAAATATGTTAAAACAGGGAGGGAGGGAGGGAAGAAGGGAGGGAAGAAGGAAGGAAGGAGGAGGGGGCTCCGTGAACCTTGAGGAGATCCTTGTAGAGCTCAGGGTACAGCATGGCAACTTCTGACTTCACATCTTTGTCCAGGACCAGAGAAAACACAGGAAACATGGTATAGATGGTGGAGTACCTGGGAGAAAAAAAATCACCGCAGGTAATATCCAGCCAGTGGAGTACGAGCCATGTGCTGCCCCAGCCTCTGGAGCCCAATTTCCTTTCCTTCATTCAACTACTACGTACTGAGCACCTGGTATGTGTGTCAGGGCCAGTTCGAAGCACTGGACATTCAAGATGAAAAGCAGACCACAACGCCTGCCCTTGGAGAGCTTCCGTGCTGGTCGGTGAGTCATAAAACAAATTCAGTAAACTATACCGTGTGCTGGAGGTAAAGTGCTGAGGAGGGAAATACAACGGGGAAGAGGGAATGAGACATGGGGCGAGGTGGTGCAATTTTAGAGAGGGTGGACAGGAGACGGGGCATTTGAGAAAACACCCACAAGAGGTAACAGGGAGGCCATGCCAATATGCGAGGGAAGAGCATCCCAGGCAGAGAGAACAGCAAGTGCAAAGGCCCTGAGGTGGAGGTGTGTCTGTCCTGTTTGAAGAACAGCGAGGCTGCCAGTCTGTGTGGAGCTAAGTGGGTGAGGGGGAAAGCGAAGAGATGAGAACCAAGAGGGAAGAGGGGACCAGATCATGGGGGGGCCACATGGAGCACGGCTCAGGGAACCCCTGGTTCTATTCAGGCATGTTCTGCCACTCTTCCAGGACCTGACAAAGGACAGGCCATTTTTCCAATTAGAAGCAGGCAGGATTCCAGTGCCTACTCTCAGGCTGAACATAAAAAGATGGAAGGCATACTTTTAAGACTCCACTGGGACCAGCCGGCCTCTCTGTGCTTCCCACCTTGGTAACCAGGGGAGCGCCCTGCCAGCATCTCTATCTAGGGCATGTGGTAACCAAACTCCACCTACCTGGGGAATTCAGAGACTGAGCACATCCTCTCAAAAGGTCAAAAGGAACGTCCTAAATTCCAGGTCAGGAACGGGGGGTGGGTTTGATGGCAAACGTAGCAACTGTCCAAGGGACAGCGTGCCTCACGGGTCAGTGGCATGCAGTGGCCAAGCTCTATCAGGGGTAACCCGGAGAGAGCAAGGCTCTGGCCGCCTTAGAGAACCACCAGCAGGATGGTCCACTATGGGCAGCCATGGCAGAGAGGGTACTTTCCAGATGCCCCTTCCACTTTTTCTAAGACCCGTCAGTGACTTCCTAAGAAATCACAGTCTGTGAAGCTTCACTCTTGCCTGGTGTATCAATCGGCTGACCACCTCAGGCTCTCGTGGGCGAGCATTCTTCAACCGTCAGGTATGAATGGACCACGAACAGATCGGAGTCTGCATCCGCAATTTGGTTAAGGGCTTACCAGTTCAAAAACGTATTCAATCGAGAAGGTTCTAAACCAGACTGCCAGACCTGCCTCGACTTGGGGACTGAAGGGTCTTCACATGATGCTTCCTCCTTCTTCTGTGGCATTTTAGGGAGGTTTCATTAAAAAGTAATACCTTGCCTGGACTTCCTTACCCAATGATGAGGAATCCTTGATAGAGAGGAACGGAGGCAAAGTAAAACACGGAGGAAAAGACAGCCTGTGCCGAGGAAAAAGGAGGATGTTACCAAAAACAATGACCAAAGCCCTTGTGTTTGTATCAGAAAAATAACAGCCAACGCTTACCAAGCACTTATTTCACACCCGCACGGTCACGGTGCTTTAAGTATATTAGCTCATTTAATTACTACAGCAACCCTGTGAAGGAGGTACTGTTATCACCATCCCCATTTTACAGATGAGGGGAGTAAGGCACCGAGAGGTTAGGTGACTTGCCCAAGATAGCACAGCTCATAAGGGACAGAGCCAGGAGTCACACCGGAGAGTTTAGCTCCAGGGTGCACTCTCAGCTCCTCTGTGAACATTTATTAAGTTACACAAGCTGGACCTGGAAATACTTTGTATCTGATCTCAGTGAATCTCCAGAAGAGCGCATGAGATCAAGTCCTAATATCGCTTACATTTTACAGGAGGGGAAACTGAGCACATAAACGGCCCTGCGGGACTCAAGCCCAGTTCTGTCTCCAGAGCCCACACTCCCGATGGCTCAGAATTACCACCTCACTGGGTGTACGATCGATAAACGGGTTGGTGTACGTATTGGAAACAGGTAGGGGAAAATATCCTCCGCCGTGAGGATATGCACCAGTTTCCCTGGAGGGTAGGACCGCAGAGAAGGCTTCACTTCTCATAGTACATGTTTCACTCTACTTGGAAATTTTTACAAAGAGCCCACAACCTGCTACTTTTGCAATTAGACAAAAGCAATAAAGATATTTACGAACCCCTACTGAAATGTCTGCTTCCGGATTTGGAAAATATTAGCTACTGGCAGTGAAAAGGAGGCTAGGGAGATAAAATCAGGCTTGATGCTCTGTTACTTCCTTCTCTGAACATCTACCGGCCAACAGAAGCAAAGTGACCTCAAAGCGAATTTCTATCAGTATAAAACCTACAGGAGGCCAGGGACAACTGTTGCCTAAAGGCTTTTTAAAAACCGAACGTGGAGGAAAAGGCTGGGCCAGGCTAGTGGTTAAAAAGAGCGTGGGACAGAGACCCCTTCCCCTTATCACCCGCTGTGGGTGTTTGCTTGGCACAGAGCTCAGAACACAGGTGGCACCTAGAGCCATGGTCACGGGCAGCCCCGGCCACACCCAGTCGTGATTTCAGAACTGAAAGGTGAAATCCGTTTTTCAAATGACTTCTCACCCAGGCTGGGCCACTGCACAGGAAGGATGGTTATAAAGACGTCAAGAATCTGGTGTTCAGTTTTACAGAGCAACACCAGGAGCCTCTTTCTCTAAAAGGGCCAGACTGACCATAAAGCCTTCACCCTGGAAAGAGCCCTGTGGAACATAAAAATGCGACGTCTTCGTCTATCTAAGGGCCCACTGTCAAGGTGCAATGCGAACTGGACTTGCCCTCAGCCAGTCACTTTCAGCACAGTGGACAGGGTTAAGGGCGTTTTTTTGGCTTTTTTTTTTTCCTACAGCACAAAGAACAATTCCTCATGCTAGAATTTTTTTTTTTCTGCATCGATGTTCACGGTAACATACAGGCATTTCAGAAGTCAGCTCATCCAGGCCAGCTTTTGTGTGTTTGCCCGGGGACAAGCTAATTAATCTCCCGGTGATTAAAACCATGACATGCAGTTCAGTTGATGAGCTAACATAAAATAAAAGTACAGATGTGGTCTGATGAACCGTAGGAGCTGTTGGCGTTTAGACTGTGTTGATGAAAATCACTGTAAGGCTCCTTCTCTCATAAATGCAGTCGATACTGAAAACATAAACCCCACCACCACCAAAGGCATGGATGAGCCAGTGGAGGGTGAATTCTCATGTACACCAGGCAGCGCCACTCGACCCTTTAAGGCAGGGTGTCTTTCATGTACGATTAAACACCTTTCCCACAAATTAAAACATCACCTTAGGTTTATGCATTAGCCTGTTTTGTTTTTATTAATAATGGTAAGGACACCTTCAGCACTTGATGCCTTAGAAAACTCTCTGCTTTTCAAAGTAGCCCTGTCTGAGGGGCAAGGGCCAAGATGCTTGGATGGAGCGATAGAGGAGTCTGATGCCCACTTTACAGGTGGAAAGACTGAAGCCCAGAGTGGTAACGTGACTTGTTCAAGGTCTCAGAGACACCTGATGATATGGGTTCCAAGATGTCCCGGGCCTATGGTTCTCACCACTTAACTGGGGGTATTTTTCACCTAAACGCCCAAGGAGGAAAGTCAGCCAATAGTTTTTCAACACCCAAAATGTTTCCTTTCCCTCCCTTTGGCCTCCTTCCTAATACAACTTCATTGCCACAGCCTGATGACACACTTTGAAGGAGCTGGGGAGAGAGAAGATGGGAAAATACCTTACACATTCTAGAATCTTTTTGTGAAAGAGCAAGATGTAACTCCCTGAGAGGACTGACGATTGGGGTAACTACACTGGATTCCCAGCCAGGCTGCACCGGAGGCAGAAGCGAGATGCCCTGGGCTGCGGCACCCTCGCTAAGCGCCCCCCTGCATGTGGAAGCAGCAGCTGGCCCTGTGGATGGAGGGCAGAGGGGCATGCCTGCATTAAGGGCACAGGTACCGGAATCCTCTGCCTGGGTAGACTAAATCCCTGAGAGACACTGCACCGATTTCTTGCCCACACTGGGCCTCAGCCTCCCCATCTGCAGAATGGGCACAGGCTACAGTGAGGACTACAGGTGAGCCTGCATTGCGAACACTCAGCCTGACGCCCAGGGTACAGGAAGCACTCAAGAAAAGCAAGTCATTCTTCTTTTGTGGCTGCTCTCTGTAGGTCCTTGCTTCTGCATGTGGAAAACTTAGGGCCGGGGTATTCACTCGGCATTTAACTCGGCATCTTTGCCTCTGGCAAACAGGATAACGACTCACCCCAATATGAGCACCCGGGTCATTTACACTACCGCCCACTTCGTGCCAAGCCCTGGCAAGGCTCACATCGGCTCCGCACGGCAAGCACAGCCTTCGCCCCCAACACAGGAAGGCTTCGGGGCGGCCACTCCAAGCTCTATCGCCCAGAATGTGGCGGGGGCTGGGGGGGAGTTGGGGGAGGGGCATTGAAACGGCTCCAGAGTGGGGACTAGTCCTCGGCCCGTGGCAACCACACGGCCGTGCGCACCTGCCCACCCACCTGCATGGTGCTGATGCAGAGGCTCCTGTGGATCACAAACTGGCTGAGGGCGGCCGAGCGCTTGTAGCTATTCCGGCCGTGCACCATGAGTAACCGGCCAAGGTGCTTGAACTGAGTGATGGAGAAGTCCGCAGCCAGCGAAGCCTGTTTTCCTTCCTAAAATCCGACAAAATTGGGCACCGTCAGGAGCACGAGAGGTCAAGGCACTTTTTTTTTTTTTTTGAATTGAAAAAGCAAGAAACTGTAAGGAGATTTTTGAAGAACTTCAATATAGGGGTTCTTTGGTTTCCAGCTATACACGGTTGGTGGTCTGAGTCTAAATTTGATTTTAAAAGAGGAACTTATTGAAATAAAAAACATTCATAAGCGCAGATACTCATAATTGGGAGGTCAAACGGATCTAGTATTAAGCCTTGGGGGTTAGGCCCAACCCATAATGTGTATCAGAAGCAAAGAATCATTCTAAGATAGGCATTTAGCACTCAGCTCAGCTCAGAGTTAAACATATGGGGGAGGGGGAACAGCTCATGCTACCAACGGTACTAAACTGAACATTCCCGAACATACAGCTCTGCATGTTTCTAGTGCAGCCATATTATGGGATTCTCTAATTTTAAAAGGCACGTGACGGATGCCACTAATGGGACAGATGGACATCACAGCCTCCTGGTGCGACGCGACAGGAAGGCACCAACTCCCCTTATGTGCTCCGCACACCAAAAACGCAGAACCTGAATCAGATCCATCCGACCCACAGACGTCGTGGGAGGTTCCACAGCTGCCCCAAATGCTTCCAAAACATCAAAGTCGTGAGACACACCGCCTCCCCCCACAAAAGAGCTGGAGAGAAGTGTTCTCCATTAAAGAAGAGTGAAGAGACATGAAGACACGGGAATAAATACAGTGCGCAATCCTTCACTGCTTCATGGAGATTTCTTTTTAAACACCTTGAGGACAACTAGGGAAATGAGACCATGAATATTACATGACATTATCATATCAATGTTACACTTGGGGTGATGCTGTTATTTTGCTTAGGTAGAAGAATACACCTGTTCTTAAGAGATCCAAGCTGAAGTATTTAGGGGTAACGTATCCGCAACTTATTTTCAGCTGATTCTGAGAAAGCGGGAGAGAGGGGAAGGAAGAGCAGAGGGAGAATCCTGCAACTGTTTACAACTGGGAAATTACAGCAAAGAGTAGACGGGTGCTCACTGTTCTATTTCAACTTTTCTGAAGGAGTTACATTTTTCAAAATAAAAAAGGTCCAGGCAACGTACAAAATGGTGGATCTACATGTTTTGATGTATAAAGCTACATGTTCTGATGTATAACGAAATCTAAGATATAGCAGATTTAGGCAAGCTGCATTTTAAAAAAAGCATAGTATAACATTTTAAATTTTACATTCTATGTGGAAATACTGTATACACATGTGTAAGATGTGTGTATGCATACATATGTATTTGTGTGTGTATATATATTATATATATACCCATAACTATTAGTATAGAAATAGACAAAAATTCTGGAAGAATAACCAATGTTACTAGTTTTATACCGCCATCTAAAAGAAAGGATGCACATTATCCATTTCTAAATTGTTTCGGGGTTTTTTCTCACAGTGAGCACTTTTTACTTTTAGACTCCAAAAACCAAAGGAATCAGAATATAATTCTGAACAGAAGGGAAAATGTTTTAGTACTGTAAGCATCGTGTAAAGAATTCCATCTACTAAACTCGAGTGTGCTTCTTAAAACCTGCATTAAAGGAATCCATACAGATTTCAGACATAACAACTCCTTCAAGGATCACTTAACTCTGCAATTTCAAGTAACTGTCAACTGGATGAGAACCAGAAAACCAGGGGGAAAAAAAAAAGGTAGAAAAGAAAAAACATTTTTGGAAATTCCAAATGCAGGAATGTATGGAAGGAGACACATAAGGGAGTATCTCCTGCCCTCACTCTCCACCTCTGTGCTCCTGCTTTACACACTGTGCTAACAAACGTGGTGGCCAGCCTCCCTGCCTACAGTCGCCGCAAGATCACAAACGAGAGACGGCAGGGTGAACTATACACGGCTGGCACACAGTTGACAGGGAAGGAAAGAGGAAAACTACTGTCCTGTAACACACAAACTTAGCCTTTTAATGAGGGGCAGGACTTCCCTGGAGACACAGTGGTCGGGAGACCGCCTGCCAATGCCGGGGACGCAGGTTCGATCCCTGGTCTGGGAGGATCCCACGTGCCGCGGAGCAACAAAGCCCGTGTGCCGCAGCTACTGAGCCTGTGCGCTACAGTCCGCAAGCCACAACTGCCGAGCCCGCATGCTACGCTACTGAGGCCCGTGTGCCTAGAGCCCGTGCTCCGCAACAGGAAAGGCTACCATGGTGGGAAGCCCCTGCACCGCAACGAAGAGTAGCCCCCGCTCGCCGCAGCTGGAGAGGGCCCGCGCGCAGCAAGGAAGAACCAACACAGCCAAAAATAAATAAATTTAAAAAATAAATAAATTTAATGAGGGGCAAACCACGCCACATTCTTCCATAATCCCCAAGAGATCACCCCACAGTGTGATAACTAATGCTTTTACTGACAACACTCCCAGGAAAGCGTTTGAAGTACATTCGCTGCACCCTAAGAATGTAGCAAAACACTTTAAAAAATTAGGTTTTGGCAAGCAAAGACTCAGCATTTGTCTGTAAGATAACAGTGACAGGGATCTGTGACTTGCAGATTGTAATACCAGGTAATTATGATACATGATTCCTTATGCTCTGTAACTGTAATCTAGAATTTCCAGAAGCATTAAAGCTGTGTCTTGGAGGGAAAATGAAACTCCAGCTGGTGGCGCAGCTCCCAGCTAAGGACACAACCACTTCACATCCTGACAACAACCACTCGGCAGAAATCAGCACACACGCCCCCCACCCCACGGGCTCACCTTTCCCTCGACACCCACACCGCAGTCAGATTCTTGGATCATACTGACGTCATTGCCTCCATCACCTGCGGGTCACCCAGACCAGAGAGAAGAGCCAGGAGATTAGGGAGAGGCAAGAAACATAACCTTGCTTTTCGCTGCTACTTCAAATAATCATACACGTGCTGCCTCTCACCGCATGCTAAGCGTCTTTTCTGCTCTGCTCCACTTAATCGCTCCAGCAACCTGCAGTAACACATTCTTATTTTACAGGCAGAGGAGCTGAGAGTCAGAGGAACCAGGTGACTGGCTGAGGGTCCTGGCCATTGAGTCACTGAGCAAGGGAACTGTGTCCATGCCACGTGGGCACTTACAACACCGCACGCCCTGCCTCCAAGGTGTGGGTGTCTCGCCATTATCAGCAACGACAGACGTTGCACGTAGGGAACGCTGACTGCGAGGGCAGCGAGCACTTCTTAAATGCTACTGCCCCTCTGACTCCTCGTAAGCACCATTTGAGAGAACCACTGTTACTCTCCCCTTCTACCAATGAGCAGACAGGCTCAGCTGGGGGAAGGAAGCCCTCCGGGACCCTCAGCTAGGAAAAACCAGCAGTTTGGACCCAGATTCCTCTCTGCAGTGTGGTCTTAGCCCCCAGGCATTGCTGTGTCCCATGTCACCGGCAAAGGAAGCGCAAGCTAAGGAGGAAAGCCCTCAGCTTGCTTCTCGACTCTTTCTCAAAGCAAAATACTTTAATAATAATAACAAAAATAGGGCCAAAGGGGGAGGGGGTGTCAATGTCACGGCCTGAATAAAGTGGCCTGGGAACCTGAACACCAGGGCGGCGGGACGCAAGCACGCCTGGGGGAGGTCGTCTGCGCAGGCGCGGCAGCCCCTACCTACTGCACACGTGAGCTTCCCCGTGCGCTCCTGGAGCAGGCGTACGATCTGGGCCTTCTGGGTGGGCGCGCAGCGGCAGCAGACCACGGCCGGGCACTGGCAGGCCAGCTCCATGAACTCGTACTCGTAGTACTTGAGGCAAACCTGGCGGGGTCAGGGAGAGGTGGTGCGTCGGCCAAGGCCCCTCCCACACGGCAGCTCCCGGGAGGAGCCTGCTGGCGGGGTTGCCCGTGCCCACCTCCAGGGAGTCTCCGGAGATGACGAGGGCACAGTCGTGCTTCCTGCGGAAAGCGTTCAGCTCGAGGTGGGCCTCGCCGCGGTTGGTCACCTGGAAGGAAAGACAGGATGAAGGAGGCCTTGCTCTCCGGAGCTGGGGGAACAACAAACAGTGGCTTCCTGCAGCCTCGTGAAGGCCATGGCCGCTGGCCCGGGACCCCACCCCTCCCCTGCCCCCAGAGCCAGAGACGAATTAGATCCTGTTTGCTATGACTCTGTGGGAATCCGGAGGGCCTGTACGCCAACCATCCCCTCGCACTTCCCGCAGGATGGCTGTGACCCACATAATAAAAATAAGAGCACAAAGCCACTGTGCTTTCATTCTGTGCCAGGCACTGTCCAAATAAGCACTTTTCAAGCATTTTCACCCCATCTGTTTCTCACAAGGACTCTTCGAGGTGCATGATGATAATAGTTCTACTTTACATCTAAGGAAACTGACACAGGGCAAGATTTGTTAGCCTGGCTACCGTGTCACAGCCCATCCACTGCAGAGCAGGCCTTGGAAGCCAGGCATCTAGCAGGGGCTTTCCTAAGAAGGCCCAGCTGTTAAATATGACACGCTTTGTGGACCATACAGTCTGTCACAACTACCCAACTCCGCCGCTACAGTGCCAAAGCAGCCACAGACAATACGTAAACAGATGGGTAGATCTTGTGTTTAAATAAAACTTTATTTACAAAAACAGGTGGCCGGCACACAGGCTATAGTTTGCAACCCCTGAATTCTAGAGCATACAGTGTATTCTCACTATGTTCAATAGTTATGCTCTGGAAAGTTGCTGCGAATACTGAATTAGTGATTTTTAAACCACTGCTCCTGGGGGAGGTACAGGGCTAGCTAGGCTCCTATGAGCCTCTGGTCACAATGTTTTTGTCCATCAGTCAATACATAACCTCATTTTCTATGTGCCTCTGTTTAAAGACATCTTTGAAAATATGTATTGTTGAAATAAGTCAGAGAAAGACAAGTACTGCATGATATCACTTACATGTGGAATCTAAAAAATAAAACAAACTAGTGAATATGACAAAAAAGAAACAGACCCACAGATATAGAGAACAAACTAGTGGTTACCAACTGGGAGAGGGAAGCAGGGAGGGGCAAGATAGGGTTACAGGCTACTAAGAGGTACAAGCTACTATGTATAAAATAAGGGGCTGGTGGAGTCAAGATGGCAGTGTGGGAAGACGCAGAGTTTGCATCTCCCCACAACTAGGGAAACTGCTGGACGCTGGTGGGGGACCTCAACACCTCAAGAGATGGGAGGAATGCTCAAGCGAACCGGTAAGACGTGGGGGGACTGAGGGGGGAGAAGTGGAGGCCAGACAAGACCAGAGCCCCTGACGGGTGGCTGAGAGGGGGGAGGGGTTCCCACGCCTGGAGGGACCCTCAGGGGCTCGGATGGGGGTGGAATGCACCAAGCGTTTCCCCTGCCCAATCGGCCAGGGAAGTCTGCCTTGCTCTCAGTCCGGGTCCTACGCCCTCAGAGGCCCCCTCCAGGCCCCGTTGGTCCTGGGGGTGTAGGAAGGATGCCGGGGGAGAACAGGAGAGGCAGGCGGGAGAGGCCCTTGGGGACTGGAGGAGAGCAGCAGAGGGCGTTTGCCCCACCCACTCGAGCCCTCCTGGGCTCCCAGGTGGGGTCCCCCACCCTCTGAGACCAGAGGCAGGAGGCCCACCTGGGCCCCTTCTGTTCTGTTGAGCCTAAGCCCCACCCCCTACACCCCCAGGGCCTTTTTCAGCCCTGTGGGTCCTAAGCATAGGCCCTGCCCACCACCCAAACCCCACCCCTGCTTAGGCCCCACCCTCCACAGCCAAGGCCTTTTCCACCTTTTTCTTTTTCTTTCTCCTCCTCTTTTTTACTATTGTGGTTCTGGTTTTACCTTCCGGTTGTTGTTTCATCCATATTTTTATTTTTATATTCTTTCTAACATATCTGTTAGTTTCCTAGTCTAATTTTATTTATTTTTTTTTTCTAATTTTATTTTTTACTTTGTTATTGTTCTTTTTTTTTGCCGCCCCACACAGCTTACAGGATCTTGGTTCATGAGCCGGGGGTTGGGCCGAAGCTCCTGCGGTGGGAGCTCCAAGTCTGAACCACTTGGACTAACAGAGAACCCCAGACCCCGGGGAATATTCACCAGAATGAGGTCTCCCGAAGGTCCTCATGTCGGCACCAAGACCCAGCTCTATACAACAGCCTACAAACTCCAGTTTTTGAAGTCTCAGGCCAAACAACAAGTAAAAAAGGAACACAATCCCACTCATCAAAAAAAAAAAAAAAAAAAAAGAGCTGGCAAAAGAAATATGTCAGAGACAAAGGAGCCAGGTAAAAACCTACAAGACCAAATAATTGAAGAGGAAACAGGCAATCTACCTGAAAAAGAATTCAGACAGTAAAGATGATCCTGAATCTCAGAAACAGAATGGAGGCACAGACTGAGAAAATACAAGAAATGTTTAACAAAGATCTAGAAGAACTAAAGAACAGAGACGAACGACACAATAACTGAAATGAAAAATACACTAGAAGGAATCAATAACAGAATAACGGAGGCAGAAGAACGAATAAGTGAGCTGGAAGACAAAATGGTGGAAGTAACTGCCAAGGAGCAGAATAAAGAAAAAAGAATGAAAAGAATTGAGGACAGTCTCAGAGACCTCTGGGACAACAATAAACACACCAACATTCGAATTATAGGGGTCCCAGAAGAAGATGAAAACAAAGGGTCTGGGAAAATATCTGAAGAGATTACAGTAGAAGACTTCCCTAACATGGGAAAGGAATTAGTCACCCAAGTCCAGGAAGCACAGAGAGTCCCATACAGTATAAACCCTAGGAGAAACACACCAAGACACATATTAATCAGACTAACAAAAATTAAATTCAAAGAAAAAATATTAAAGGCAGCAAGGGTAAACCAAAAAATAACATACAAAGGAATCCCCATAAGGTTATCAGCTGATTTTTCAGCAGAAACTCTGCAGGCCAGAAGGGAGGGGCAGGATATACTTACAGTGATGAAAGAGAAAAACCTACAACCAAGATTACTCTACCCAGCAAGGATCTCATTCAGATTCAACAGAGAAATCAAAAGCTTTCAGACAAGCAAAAGCTAAGAGAATTCAGCACCACCAAGCGAGCTTTACACCAAATGCTAAGGAAACTTCTCTAGGCAGGAAACACAAGACAAGAAGCAGACCCACAAAAACAAACCCAAAACAATTAAGAAAACGGTAATAGAAACATACATATCGATAATAACCTTGAATGTAAATGGATTAAATGCCCCAACCAAAAGACACAGACTAGCTAAATGGATACAAAAACAGGACCCATATATATGCTGTCTACAAGAGACCCACTTCACACCTAGGGACACATACACACTGAAAGTGAAGGGATGGGAAAACATATTCCATGCAAATGGAAATCAAAAGAAAGCTGGAGTAACAATACTTGTATCAGATAAAATAGACTTTAAAATAAAGACTGTTAGAAGAGATAAGGAAGGACACTACATAATGATCAAGGGATCAATCCAAGAAGAAGCTATAACAATTATAAATGTTTATGCACCCAAAATAGGAACACCTCAATACATAAGGCAAATGCTAACAACTATGAAAGTGGAAATGGACAGTAACACAGTAATAGTAGGGGACTTTAACGCCCCACTTACACCAATGGACAGATCATCCAAACAGAAAATAAATAAGGAAACACAAGCTTTAAATGACACAATAGGTCAGATACATTTAATTGACATTTATAGAACATTCCACACGAAACTGGCAGAATACACTTTCTTCTCAAGTGCACACAGAACATTCTCCAGGACAGATCACATCTTGGGTCACAAATCAAGCCCTGGAAAATTTAAGAAAACTGAAATCGTATCAAGCATCTTTTCTGACCACAACGTGATGAGACTGGAAATCAATTACAGGGGAAAAAAACTGTAAAAAAACCACAAACACATGGAGGCTAAACAGTGCACTACTAAATAACCAAGAGATCACTGAAGAAATCAAAGAAGAAATAAAAAAATACATAGAGACAAATGACAACAAAAACACGATGACCCAAAATCTATGGGATGTAGCAAAAGCAGTTCTAAGAGGGAAGTTTATAGCAATTCAATGTCACCTCAAGAAACAAGAAAAATCTCAAATAAACCATCTAACCCTACACCTAAAGCAACTAGAGGAAGAAGAACAAAGAAAACCCAAAGTCAGTAGAAGGAAAGAAATCATAAAGATCAGAGCAGAAATAGATGAAACAGAAACAAAGAAAACAATAGCAAAGATCAATAAAACGAAAAGCTGGTTCTTTGAGAAGATAAACAAAATTGATAAACCCTTAGCCAGACTTGTCAGGAAAAAAAGGGAGAGGATGCAAATCAATAAAATTAGAAATGAAAAAGGAGAAATCACAACTGACACTGCAGAAATACAAAGGATTATGAGAGACTACTACAAACAACTATATACCAATAAAATGGACAACCATGAATAAATGGACAAATTCTTGGAAAGGTGCAATTTTCCAAGACTGAATCAGGAAGAATTAGAAAACATAAACAGACCTATCACAAGTAATGAAATTGAACCTGTAATTAAAAATCTTCCAATAAACAAAAGTCCAGGACCAGATGCCTTCACAGGTGAATTCTATCAAACACTTAGAGAAGGGCTAACACAGATTCTTCTCAAACTCTTCCAAAAACTGCAGAGGGAGGAACACTCCCAAATTCATCCTACAAAGCCACCACCCTGATACCAAAACCAGAAAAAGGTATCACAAAGAAAGAAAATTATAGACCACTATCACTGATGAACATAGATGCAAAAATCCTGAACAAAATACTAGCAAACAGAGTCCAACAACACATTAAAAGGATCATACACCATGATCAAGTAGGATTTATCCCAGGGATGTGAGGATTCTTCAATATATGCAAATCAATCAATGTGATACACTATATTAACAAACTGAAGAATAAAAACCACATGATCATCTCAACAGATGCGGAAAAAGCTTTTGACAAAATTCAACACCCATTTATAATAAAAACTCTCCAGAAAATGGGCATAAAGGGAACCTACCTCAACATAATAAAGGCCATATATGACAGACCCACAGAAAGCATCATAATCAATGGTGAAAAACTGAAAGCATTTCCTCTAAGATCAGGAACAAGACACGGATGTCCACTCTTGCCACTCCTCTTCAACATAGTTTTGGAAGTCCTAGCCACGGCAATCAGAGAAGAAAAAGAAATAAAAGGCATACAAATTGGAAAAGAAGTAAAACTGTCACTGTTTGCAGATAACATGATACTATACATGGAAAATCCTAGATGCCACCAGAAAACTACTAGAACTAATCAATGAATTTGGTAAGGTTGCAGGATACAAAATTAATGCACAGAAATCTCTAGCAATCCTATACACTAACAACGAAAAATCAGAAAGAGAAATTAAGGAAACAATCCCATTTACCATCACAACAAAAAGAATAAAATACCTAGGATAAACCAACCTAAGGAGGCAAAAGACTTGTCAGAAAACTATAAGACAATGATGAAAGAAATCAAAGATGACACAAAGAGGCGGAGAAATATACCATGTTCTTGGATTGGAAGAATGAATATTGTGAAAATGACTGTACTACCCAAAGCAATCTACAGATTCAATGCAATCCCTATCAAACTACCAACGGCATTCTTCACAGAATTAGAACAAAAAAATTTTACAATTCGTATGGAAACACAAAAGACCCTGGATAGCCAAAGCAATCTTGAGAAAGAAAAACAGAGCTGGAGGAATCAGGCTCTCTCACTTCAAACTATACTACAAAGCTACAGTAATCAAGACAGTGTGGTACTGGCACAAAAACAGAAACACAGATCAATGGTACAGGATAGAAAGCCCAGAGATAAACCCACGCACATATGGTCACCTAATTTATGACAAAGGAGGCAAGAACATACAATGGTGCTTCTTCAATAAGTGGTGCTGGGAAAACTGGACAGCTACATGTAAAAGAATGAAATTAGAACACTCCCTAACACCATACACAAAAATAAACTCCAAATGGATTAAAGACCTAAATGTAAAACCAGACACTACAAAACTCTCAGAGGAAAACACAGGAAGAACACTCTTTGACATAAATCACAGCAAGATCTTTTTTGACCCACCTCCTAGAGTAATGAAAATAAAAACAAAACTAAACAAATTGGACCTAATTAAACTTCAAAGCTTTTGCACAGCAAAAGAAACCATAAACAAGATGAAAAGACAACCCTCAGAATGGGAGAAAATATTTGCAAATGAAACAATGGACAAAGGATTATCCTCCAAAATATACTAACAGCTCATGGAGCTCAATATCAAAAGAACAAACAATCCAATTAAAAAATGGGCAGAACACCTAAAAAGACATTTCACCAAATAAGACATACAGATGGCCAAGAGTATAAAAAGATGCTCAACATCACTAATTACTAGAGAAATGCAAATCAAAATTACGAGGTATCACCTCACGCCGGTCAGAATGGCCATTATCAGAAAATCTAGAATCAATAAATGCTGGAAACGGTGTAGTAAAAAAGGAACCCTCCGGCACTGTTGGTGGGAATGTAAATTGATACAACCACTATGGAGAACAGTATGGAAGTTCCTTAAGAAACTAAAAACAGAACTACCATATGACCCAGCAATCCCACTACTGGGCATATACCCTGAGAAGACCATAATTCAAAAAAAGACATGTACCACAATATTCACTGCAGCTCTATTTACAATAGCCAGGACATGGAAGCAACCTAAATGTCCATCCACAGATGAATGGATAAAGAAGATGTGGCACATATATACAATGAAATATTACTCAACCATAAAAAGAAACAAAATTGAGTTATTTGTAGTGAGGTGGATGGACCTACAGTCTGTCATACAGAGTGAAGTAAGTCAGAAAGAGAAAAACAAATACCGTATGCTAACACATATATATGGAATCTAAAAAAAAAAAAAAAAAAAAGGTACTGATAAACCTAATGGCAGGGCAGGAATAAAGACATAGACATAGAGAATGGACTTGAGGACACGGGGGTAGAGGGAGAAGCTGGGGCGAAGTGAGAGTGGCATGGACATATATACACTACCAAATGTAAAACAGACTGCTAGTGGGAAGCAGCCCCATAGCACAGGGAGATCAGCTCGGTGCTTTGTGACCACCTAGAGGGGTGGGATAGGGAGGGTGGGAGGGAGGCTCAAGAGGGAGGTGATATGGGGATATATGTATGCATACGACTGATTCACTTTGTTGTACAACAGAAACTAACACAGTATCGTGAAGCAATTATACTCCAATAAAGATCTATTAAAGAATTAAAAAATAAAATAAGCCACAAAGATATACTGTACAGCACAGGGAATATAGACAGTATTTTATAATTATAAATGGAATATAACTTTAAAAAACTGTGAATCAGTGTGTTGCACACCTGAAACATATAATACTGTACGTCAACTACACTTCAATAAAAAAAAATTTTAATTAAAAAAATATGTTTATTATTGATTCATTAACACTAGACTCATGGCCAACAGGACCATAACTCATGCCTGGAGGAAACTTATCTCCAGGAGGCTCATCACAGCCTTCCTGCACTCAGGGATATGGTCAGTTCCCAGCTCTGTGCTGGGGGCCATGTTAAACAGTGAAACTGCTAACAAAAAACCCCACAAAAATGCAAAAAACGTGGCACTGAGTAGACTGAAAAGGACCCTTGCGTCCGCCTGAGAGCTGAGACAAGAAGGCAGAGCGGGCTTCCCTAGTGGCGCAGTGCTTAAGAATCCGCCTGCCAATGCAGGGGACACGGGTTTGAGCCCTGGTCTGGGAAGATCCCACATGCTGTGGAGCAACTAAGCCCGTGTGCCACAACTACTGAGCCTGCACTCTAGAGCCCGCGAGCCACAACTACTGAAGCCCGCGCACCTAGAGCCCGAGCTCTGCAACAAGAGAAGCCACCGCAACGAGAAGCCCGTGCACCGCAACAAAGAGTAGCCCCCGCTCACCGCAACTAGAGAAAGACTGCGCGCAGCAACACAGCCGAAAATAAACCAATCAATAAATTTTTTTTAAAAAGGCAGAGCGTCGCCCCTCTCCACTTCAGTTAGGAACTCACTCGTCAGATGACTCAAACTTTCCACTGCTGTGCATGCGTCCATATAGGGCTCTGAAAGCACCTCGAGTATTGATTTTCGGGTTACAAACAAGTTTTAGTGAGTGGGTGAATTTGCAAATACAGAACCCATAATGAGGATCCACTGTATCTGTCTCTACACGATGCTGGTTGTGCTAGTCCCGAAACTGCTGGATTTCACAAAGCTTCAACGGGCTATAGACCAAAGGCAGGGGTATGGGGGGAGACCCCCAAAACATCTAGATCCAGTTGTCTGGCTTGGTAGCTCTGATGACAGATAAGTAGTACCACCACATCTGGCCCCAGAGGGGACCTAGTGCCCCTCCCAACTCCCAACTCAATAAGGCCAATCACCGTCCTTGGCTTCGAGCCCTGGAGCAGCTCCTTGTGCCTGCACTGTTTGGGCCAAGCGCTGGCCACCAGGGCAGGGAATTCCCAACACGCCTCCTTCTAAAGGTTACTCAAGGGTTTCCTTCAGGAGGGAAGACAGGCCAGTATCTGCGATCTGGAACTGATTTCCTACCCAAGGACTGGGCTTCGAAGGGTTCAGGAAAATCCCAGACTTGTATGTACAATTTCACATGTATGAGCTCATCTGCATCCTTCACGCTGATCATGCCTAACTCCCGTCAGCTCCTCAAAGGGACCACAGCCAGCACCGGGTTAAGAACACAGGTTAACATGGGGCGGTAACCAGGCGCTCCTGCACCACCACCGGCAGGAATCGTTGAGCCTCGCCTGGGTCATTCAGTGATCCCACCCAAACCAACGACGTGAGCTCCCGCCACCCCCCACCCAGGGGTCCACGCGAGGCTATGAGGTTACAGGGCAAACGGCAGCATCACCCCACAGGGCCCCAGAGCAGACAACGCTTTACCAGCCGAAAAACGTGGATGTCTTGGTTTCTGGTCACCAGATGTGCATTCTTTGCTGTGCATGTAGCTGTCTCCAGCTTGTCCCCCGTCAGCATCCAAACCTGAAATTACCGCATGGAAGGGGTCCCCTTGGTTAGCGTTTGAGGCTAGCCTGTCGCCTGTGTCAGCCGAGTTTCCAAACACATCAAGCTGAACTTGATACGTTCCATTTACCTCCTTGAGGCCTACAATGTCCCCAACGAACCACAGGAAAGGCCCCAGTTCAAGGGCTTCAAGACCTTGGGCGTCTGCCGCTGGTGGCAGCAAAAGCTGGTGTGGCACTTTTGAAAAACTGGCCACATGCTGCAGTAGACGTCGTGAAGCTCAGCCTCTGCCCTCCTAATCCCCGTTCCGGAAACTTTCCTTAAAGCAATAAATAATCTCAAAGAAGGGGAAGGCTGTATGGACGAGGGGTCACTTCCATGTCCCACAGGAAACACTGATTTGTCACGTTCCACAGGGTCTTTCTACGCGGCCGGATGCCCCCGAGCAATCTCAGGGGGCTGAACCCTAATTAAAACGCCGACAGTAAACGTGCCAGGTCTTCCTCGCCTCATAACTGAGCACTGTGCGCCTCACTGTGGCGGGCTCAGAGAGGGTAGGTGACTTGCCCAAAGCCACACAGCTAGTTCCTGTCCTGACCAGGCCCAGAACCCAGGTCTTCAGAGTCTAAATGGATGTGCTTCCTACCCTGCTGATTCACCCATTAACCCTCTGCTCCCTCTGCTCCCAGTGGGGAAGTGGGGTGGGGGCCTTAGAGTCATCGGACAAAGGGTATCTTGGCAGCAGGGGAAGCGCAGGAAAGAAAATAACCACAAAGGTTCCCCGAGTGTTCACCGTGCCGGGCACCTGTTAAGTGCTGTGCGTTGTTCCTTCACAGTAACTTTATGAGGTGGGAAACGGAGGCCCAGGCCTCATCCGTCCTGCTGACATCGTCCCGCTCACGGGCACTCGTGCCAGATGTGGGCCCAAGGACGCAGCCCAGAGCTGCTCTGGGCAGAGGCAGGCAGCTTAACCTACGTATTTTCAGGAGCTTCTAGCCGATGAGTTTGCTGATCCCTTGCTTGGGTCGGCTGAGATGCAGCCCGCCCCCCAGACGCCCTCTACTGGCGTCTCCGGATTAAACTACCAGATATGTATTTTTTGGCCCCAAACAAAAATGTAAATACGGCAGTTTGTTGGGGCAGATGGTCACTCTGTTGGGTGGTCATTCAGTTACCCAGACCAAAAGACAGATTGGTTGGCTGGCCGGACACTCAACAAGAATGTAACAAACACCGCAAATGCGCGGGACACAGCTGGTCCTGAGAGCTAAGGAGATGCTCTCGGTCCTGTCTCCATGGAGCCCGGCATGCAGAGGGGAAGCCGGCAGCAAAAGCGGACACACAAGACGTCTTCCACAGCTGTCAAGGATGGGAGGGCTACAGGTCACTGTCCGAGCCCGGTTCCCTGTCACTACTTCCATCCTCGGCCCCGCCTCCCTCCATCTCTAATTTTCACCCTCCGCTGACAGGATCACTGGTCTAAGTCTGAAATTCACTGCCATGTGGCAACCTATTTCAGCAGTGGGTCCAGGCAGGCTCACCCTACCTTGATGCCGGCGTTCCTCAGGGTCTCCAGGGTGGGCCTCACGTCCGCCTGGAGCTGGTCCTCCACCCCTGTCAGGCACAGCAGCTCCATCTCCATCTCCAGGCTCTCGATCACTGTGGCCACTTTGAGGGAACGGTCGTGCACACTCAGCTTGGCCTGGACATAGCGGGCCTGGGACACACCAGGGGACACTGTCACCACTTAGGATGGGGAGGTGCAAGGCGGACCAACTGGCAGTGGGAGCGTCTCATCCCCCACACAGGGCAGGGACCCCAGCACCTGGGTGAACCTCAAAGGGGTGAAACTGAGGCCTCCAGCCTCCTTCCCAGTTCATCAGTCCAGACGCTGGAACTGGAGAGACCGGAGCTCCACCCTTTGCTCTACACTCACCTGCTGTGCAACTTCTAGCAGGTCACTTAACTTCTCTGAGCCTCAATTGTTTTCCTCCCCAAAGAGGCAATAACGGCCCCAACTTCACTGGGTTTTTACAAGGATTAGTACAACTCGAGACCTCAAAAGACAGTAGATTCTCCCCACACAGCATATGCTCTGTAACCAAGAACTCTTGACCACCAGGTTGTCTAAAGACAAAGTCTTACTTCCAAAGACCATCGACCCAACCCTTCTGTTTATCTCCTCTTTACGGTGTTAACAAAGATACAGCAGTCACAAAGCATATGCCTTTAAAATTGAAAGAAAGGTAGAATTTTATCAGGGCTAGAACTCTCGTTAAATAAAACTTTACAAAGAACTCAAGCACATAAAAGAGACAGACCCAAGCACAGTTTCTCTGGGTGGAGCAGGACAAGGGCCGCAGAAGCCTTTCCCCCAACCTGGTCTCTCTCCCCTTCAGTCACGTGTAAATACAATCATTCAGCTTTGTGCCAGGACTGGGGGTACAACAAGGACCCTCCCCCTCAAGGAACACACAATCCATGGGATGAGATGACAATTAACAAGACATATTTATACTGGAAGCCTTGGCAGTGAAAGTCAATGATCGAGTTCAAATCCAACATTTTTTACAGCTTAAAAAAATTAGGGCTTCAAGAAGGTTTACAATTTCAAATTTGAAGGTTTCATTTCATATTTTTCAGAAGGTTTATAATGACTATCGTAAGTGTTGGGGTACAAGAGCAAACCAAACTGATAAAGTCTCTGCTCTCAAAAAGATTTTATTCCAGAAAGAAGCTATCAAAAATAATCTGAGGGCTTCCCTGGTGGCGCAGTGGTTTAGAGTCGGCCTGCCGATGCAGGGGCCACGGGTTCGTGCCCCGGTCCGGGAAGATCCCACATGCCGCGGAGCAGCTGGGCCCGTGAGCCATGGCCGCTGAGCCTGCGCGTCCGGAGCCTGTGCTCCGCAACGGGAGAGGCCACAACAGTGAGAGGCCCGCGTACCGCAAAAAAAAAAAAAGAATGTGAAAATACGTACATAAAGCCATTACAGCTGGTGATAAATGCAGTGAAGAACGTTCAACAGGGTGACAACGGGGAGTGATGAGGTGGGGCTGCTTTAGATGGGGGATCCAGGAAGACTTCTCAGAGGAGGCGACATTTGAGCTGAGACCCAAAGGAAGTGAGGGAGGGGGGCCTTGGAGCTCTGTGAGGGAGGAGAGTACTAGGCAGAGAGAAGAACCTGGTGTGCTCAGAAATGATGTCAGTCTGGCCAGAGCAGAATGAGGGAGGGGAAGATGGGGAGGTGAGTGGGGCTAAAAAGTAAAAGAAAAGTCACAGAACCACTGACCTCAAAGTCTTGATACTGCTCCTCTGCTAGAGATTTCTTCGCCACCACAAGCACCCGCAGCCCTTCCCGGGCCATGTTTCCACACTGAAAAGCAAACCCTGGTCAGCGGAGAGCCGCACTAAGGGCTCTGTATCCCGGACTCTCTCTGGGGAGGGCTGGAGGCTGAAGTGGATGCCCCTCCCAAGGGGACAGTGCAATGGTAAATCAGAACGCTGCTTTCCCCTAAAGCAGTCTCTCTCAGCAAACCTCCCAAAGGGGTCTCAAAATTTAAGTCAGTGCAGTAAGATCTCAGAGACTAATCTGGATTTCTGGCTCGTTGGAAAAACTGAACCTTTGACAAGAGCACTTTCCCAAATGACCACAGCCAGTGATACTGAAAGGCGGCTGTTTCCACACGGTCCCACTAAACACAGCTGTCGAGTGAAGAATATTCCAACACGTTCAACGCACAAAGTGTGATGCTGTCAGGAAACACATACTGGCCCGTTTCATTCACCTGAGTTACCTGCCTAGCCCCTGTCGGCATTTGGGTTTGTTACTCACTGATTGGAAATATGATATTACTGAACATAAAATGTGAATTCTGCGCCTGGAGATGGGAGATGAAACAGAAACGGCCTGACAGACTGGAGAGTTCCTTCCCTCCCTGCTGCAGCCAATTCCCACGTCACAATCCGAGACAAGGCGGCCTGTGACGGGGCCCCATGATGCCCGCCTCCTGGTACCCACACCCTTGTACGTTCACCTGCCCTGAGTGTGGACTGGACCCAGTGCCTTGTTCCTAACACACAGAATGTGGCAAAGTGAGGGGAGGTCGTTTCCAAGAAGGTCACTTCTCTCTGTTTCACTTCTCTCTGTTTCATCCACATGGCAAGGAACGCGGCTGCCTCCGGCCTAGAGGCACTGAGGAGCTGAATCCTGCCCATGACCACTAAGTGGGCTGGGAAGTGGGTCCCGCCCCAGCTGAGCCTTCAGATGAGACCCCAGCCTCGGGTGACCCCTTGACCAAAGCCGAAGAGACCCTGAGCTGAGGACCCAGCCAAGCTGTGCCTGGATTGCTGATTCGCAGAAACTGTAAGAAATTACACGCGTCCTCCTAAGCTGATAAGTTTGGGGGTGATTTGTTACATAGCCCCAGGAAACGCATGCAGGGACCCACCTCACTATTCCATGCAAGGGACAAACTCCAGGACACACGTCCGAGGCCCCGTTTCCACACCCCACGTCACGCTTACCTCTTCCTCCAGCCAGTCGTTGTACTGCACGATGCCAGCCATGACGACATCCGCTCCCTTCATGTAAAACGTAATCTCCCCAGTCGATTCATCCTAGAGGGGGGGCCGGGAGGAATGAACACCCAAGAGGAACACTTGGTTCCGCTCCAGTGGCCGCTTCCCACGAGAGATGCTGCACAAAGTGTGCTCAGAGGACGCCAGTGTTTCCTCACTTGGCCGAAGATGAAAAGCGAGAGGGGAGCCTCACTTTGGGGCAAAGGCCACAGAAAACAAGAAAACTCAAAGCATTTGGAAAATCATTAAATGATGAAAAGCAAGATCAAAAGGACTGAAGAACTCTGTTTTTACAGTTATTACTACTCTAACGGGAACAGACTGACCCTCACACTGTAAGATAATTTTAAATTTATACACGGGGCTGCCAGTATTGCCAAAACGTGGTCTACCAGCAAGAGTTGGGAAGTAAGATAATTCTCGAGATCAGGGTTTCTCAGCCTCGGCACTGTTAATATTTGGGGCTGGAGAATTCTTTGCCGTGAGGGGGCTGGACTCTGCATTGCACCATCTCCCGTGGCATCCCTAGCCCACTAGATGCCAGCAGCAATCCCCATGGTGACAACCAAAATGTCTCCAGACATTAACAAATGTCCCCTGGGGGACACATTGCCTCAGTTGACAGCTACTGCTCTAGACACGTGGGACCCTTACGTCTACCTGAGGACTTAGCTAGAGAGCAAAGTACCCAGATTTCCAGTTCACACTGACCAGATTTTCTGGGGAGAGGGAGACATCAGAAGCTTAGACCCGGTACCAGCTCCCAGCTGTGTGCACCTGGACAAGCTACTTCTTTTCTCTAGACCTCAGTTTCCTCCTCTGTAAAATCGGGATCCTAACAACTCTTACCGTATAGCTTGCTGGGGCTTAAACAAGATCATCTACATAGAGCAGGTAGCAAAGGGCCAGCATCCACAGAAAATGCTCACCCAGTGTTATTATTCCTGTTGGGGTGACAGTCACTCCTCAAGACCCTCAGTCGCACTGTTTGTAGAAAACAAGGTTTAAGCTGGGGGTCTGAATGGGGGTGGTTTTGCCCCCAGGGGACTTCTGACAATGTCTGGACACATATTTGATTATCTCTACTGGGAGGTGCTACTGGCATCTAGTGGGTGGAGACCAAGGATGCTGCTAACCGTCCTACAATGCACAGGGCGGTCCCTGCAACAGAGAATCATCCCGCCCCAAATGTCAATGGTGCTAAGGCTGAGAAACCCTGGCTTTAAGGAATAACGGTGAAATCGTCAATTCTTATCCCATGACTCTTTCCTCACAGACCTGCATCACAGGGAGGCTGGAGGCAATGGAGATGGGCAAGGCTAACTGAGCATGGCCATCACCACCTTGTGCCTAAATTCTGCTACCCCAGGAAGCCCAGAATGCATGCCTGTAAGCTCTTCATTGAATAGGAAATAAATACCCAAGGCCAAATCAGTGGTATAGTTTCATCTACTAAAGTAACTTCCGAATGCCTCTGATCACGGACAATCTTTTAGAACAACATGCTTACTCATAAAAGCACCCACAGGCCACGAACAGGCACCTGCACTTTAAAAGCATTAGAACTGCAGGCTGCTTCTTTGATGGACTGCATCTATGCTTGCTTGTGACTCGGGCCAAAGATAGCAGTGGGGTCTGAACATGAAAGCATCTGAGGTTTCTTTTTCCTTTCGCCTTCACCCAAATGCTGCTATGGGAAATAACGTCCCCCTCCCCAGCTTCCTCTACTCCAGAAGGGGCTCAAGAGAACTCGGACATCTTGTCCAATATAAATACTGTACCGACTGTCTCCTCCCGTTAGTCATTTCCTCCCACCAAGTTCATCACAAGGTTACTTCGTTCCCATATTATGGCAAGATTACGCTATAAATTTACAGAGATCTGCTGGTTGTGTTGCATTGTTTTGGGGCCTCATCTTTTTCCACTGTGGTCTGACTCTGGCACCTGTTCAAAGGCCTCTTTTATTCAGACAGTGACAAGGGTATGATCTATACCAGTGATCCGACTTCAGCACGCCAAGGGGGAAGGGTGAGGGGAGGGCAGTGGAACATCTTGTAACACAACAAAAACAAAACTGGCGACACAGAGACAAACACGCAAGCCCCGACGAAACCGGCTTCTCTAACCTCACTGACCTTCTCAGAAGAGATTCACAGAAAGACCAGACCTTGCTTGGTGAGGGTAAGAAGATGCCGCACAGAACCGTCCATGAGCTCACACATGTTTAAGAGGGTTGATGAGCCAGGTGAGAACAAAACTATAACTGTCAACCGTCATTAAACCAGGTTGAGAACCATTTTATAACTGAGGGAAAACTTCCTCACATCAGGTAACTGGGCAGTTACTTTCAAACAACAGACAGAAAAGATGGCCACATCAGAACAGTTTCTCAGCCCTGGCACGATGAACATTTGGGGCTGGAACGTTCTTTGGTATGAGGCTGTCCTGACCGCTATCCACTAGATACCAGTGGCACCACCCTCTGAGCTGCAACAACCAAAAATGTCCCCAGATGTGTCCCCATGTCCCCTGGGGGCAAGATGGCCCCAGGATGAGAATCGTTTCGCGAAAGGAGAACAGTGAGATTCGTGCTAAGTGGAGAGCTAGCTCCACAGCCCTGGGCACGGATTTGCACCCTGCAAAACCAAAGATAGAGAGGGAGACAGGTCAGAAAACAAAAATATTAGCAGAATAATATGCATCACATTAAAGACAGCCTAACAAAGATGGATGCGCACAGATTCATTGTTAGTAGTGAGAGATGGAAAACAACCTAAGTATCCAAGAAAGGAATATTTGATTAAATAATGCTACATTTTTTCAGCAAAACACCATGCCCACATTAGAATCATGTTTTAATAATATGAGAACATTACTATTCAGTGGAGGGGTGGGAGTCTTAGAAAGCTTTAGGTGGAGCTTGAAGCCAGTTTTATAAAATTGTGTGTGGCTATTTATACTCGTTTATGCTTAGAGAAAAAACTGAAGGGAAATTCCCTGAAAAGGCAAGAGTGGTTGTCTTTGGGTGATGAAAATACAGATGAAAGGCTCTGATCCCCTTCTGTACACACTTATCTGTTCCCAGTGCTGATTTCTTTAAAAATATAATCTGGGAAGGGTGGAGCGCTATTGTAAAGTAATGATAGATTTGCCCACCCAACAGCATCCCATACTCCCAGACACAGATCCCGTCCTTGCTGTGGGAAGATACAGGGGTCACATCTCAGAAAATGTGACGCACGTCTGGGAATGACAGCCCTTTGCAACTACAGGGAGGGTGGCGCACTCAGCCCCCTTACTCTAGGACGGCTGATGTCGGGACCATCTGACGATGATTCAACCCTCAAATGACTCCAGCATAGTCCATGGCCCTAGAACTTGGCAAAATAAAGGCTGGAACAAAATAAAAGCAAGTCCGTAGTAGATAATGACTCTAATTCCCCAGGAAACACCCACCCACAGGATTCACGTGGCTGCTTCCAGGCCACGGATGTTCCTGACATCACACACGCACTCAAGATACGGTTTAAAAGCCACGGGGCAGGCTAGGTGCAGACCAGTGGGAAAAGCAGCAGCCGCATGGGAAGAAAAGCCCCCCTCCCACTCAAAAACTGCCAAGGATATATGTCTGGTAGAGTCTGAAGACTACTGGCACCGGGGACATAAAAATCCCTTAAAATGTGTCGTTTTCAAGGCACATCCGTACTGTGTGTCACTGGACCATCAGTACTGCAGCTCATGGAGCTGTTTCTAACTTTTACCTGGAGAAACAGCCTCTTCAGTGACTCCCACTTTCCCCACCTCCCGGGGTGTTCACACCCCTGGGTGATCCAGGCCCACCAAGGGGTGGGCTGGAGCCAGGGACCTGCTTCTAATAACAGAATAAGGCAAAAGTGAAGGGAGGTCGGTTCTGAGATGACGTGCCTTCTGTCTTGTTCACACTCTCACAGACTCACTTGGGTGAAGCCAGCTGATGTGGGAGCCGGTCTATGGACAGGCCTGTGGGGCAGTGGATGAGGGTGGCCTCTGGCCAGCAGCCGGTATAGAACTAAAGTCCTCAGCCCAACAACTGCAAGGAACTGACTCTTGCTGACAACACTGATTTCACCTGGCAGTGAATCCTGCCCGGCTGAACCTTGGATGACTGCAGCCTACGAGAGATCCCGAGGCAGAGGGCCCGGCGAGGCTGCACCCGGACTCCTTGGCCCCCAGAAATTGTCAGATAACACTTCCTGTTGTTTTAAGCCATCACATGCGGGATAACCTGTCACAACGCCATACGTAATTAACACACTACCCTCACCATTACTGTGGGTGCTCTGTGAGCTCTCCCACATCCCTCTCATCACACCCAAACTCCCAGGGCCTGGCGATAAAGAGCATGACCTGGGAGCCAGACAGCCTGGGGTAGAAGCCCAGCTCCACCTTTTCTAACTATATGAACTTAGGGAGGTTTCTTCTTCTCTCCATACCTCAATTTTCTCCTCTGTTAAATGCCAACTGCAATGGTATTATGAGAATTACATGAGTTGTTTTATGCAAATCATTTACAACAGTGACTAGCACCCAATAAGCACCATTTAAATGTTACCTCTGTTATTATTATTGTTCCTAACTCTGTTCCTATTACTAATGCTGCTAGTACTATTACTAATTACTCCTATCACTAATTCTATTATTACTAATTTACTACAATAGAATCTACAACTCTGACCCCTAAGGCATGAAACACTTGTGTAGATAGGGCGGAGGGGATCCTCATTTGTTTAAAAAATGAGAGAGTCGTATTCCAAAGATTCTCATGATCTGGGGCAGCATTTTCTCCAGCCAAGCCAAACAATGTGAAGAATCTTTAAGAACACCAGGGAACCATCTCAATACCAAAATAGGACTGGGACCAAAGTAGTCTGCAATTTTTAAAGCTCCGATGGTTAATTCCGATGATCAGCCAGGTTTTGTTTGTTTGTTTGTTTAGATCTCGTTTTATTTATTTTTGGCCATGCTGGGTCTTCGTTGCTGCGCCCAGGCTTTCTCTAGTTGCGGCGAGCGGGGGCTACTCTTCGCTGCTGTGCGTGCGCGGCTTCTCACTGTGGTGGCTTCTCTTGTTGCGGAGCACGGGTTCTAGGCACGCTGGCTTCAGTAGTTGTGGCATGCTGGCTTCAGTAGTTGTGGCACAGGGCTCAGTAGTTGTGGCACATGGGCTTAGTTGCTCTGCGGCATGTGGGATCTTCCCGGCCCAGGGCTCGAACCTGTGTCCCCTACATTGGCAGGCAGATTCTTATCCACTGCGCCACCAGGGAAGTCCCTATCAGCCAGGTTTAAGAACTACTGAGCAGAGTGGCTTATGAACACAGGGCTTCCAGGCTTCCCAGCATGGAAAGTGCGAGTAAAAGAGCAAATAGGAAAACAAGGTATTAATTCAGATTGGCAAGATTTTAAAAGTCCGACACTATCAAGTGTTGGTGAGGATGCAGAAAAACAGTGGGACTAAGATTAGTATAAGCACTTTGGAGAAAAGGTTGAAAAAACCTGGTAAAGTTAAAGATGTATATATTCTACCACCCAGCAAGTCCACCTCTGGGTGTAGTCCACAGAAAAACACGGACATATGTACAGTGGAGACTGCAGCAGACAAGGCTACACATGGCAGCGGTCTTTCTATCGGCAAAAAAAGTGGCAATGACCTAAACGTGTATCAAGAGGGAATGGCAACAGACGGAAGGAACTGAGGTATATTTGCACAATGCAATACAACAAGTCAGCTAAGAGAAATAAAGTGGGATTACATGCATCAACATAAATAAAGCTTTTTGTAAAATGTTAAACAAAAATTAGGATGTGGAATAATAATATATATACGACAATGACACTTTATAGAGAGAATAAAAACATGAAAACCATAATACATATTATTTATACCCAATGTGTCTGATAATAGTATTTTAAAATTCATAGGAGTGATAAACCTGGGGTAGACTGAAGAGGAAGCACATCTAGAAAGGACAGATGGGATTTCAATTGAATGCACAATGTTTTCTTTGTTTAAAAAATTTTTTAAACTATAATACATGCAAAAGTGTGGATCAACACATAAATATAAATTTGAGCAAACGAACTCAAACACAAAAGGGTATCTACTGTACAGTTTCCTTTATATAAAGTTCAAAAAGAGACAAAATCAGTCAGTGGTAGAAATGGGACAGTGGTTATATCCTTGTGGGAAGAAAGGATGCAGTAACCAGAAAGAGGTACGAGGGAGCTGCTGGGGTGATGGTGGGAGGGATTCTGTTCCTTGCTCGGGATGCGAGCGACACTGTGTTTATTACTTTGTTAACACTTGAGCTGTACACTCCTGAGGTTTGCACTTTTCTCTTTGTATGCTGTACTTCAATAAAAGCTTCAAAAAATATAAAAAGAAAATCTGAAATATTAATGCCAAAATGACGATGTTGAGTGATCACGACACTTTTTTCCAGTAACTTCTGTGACTGTATGAATGAAAAATCATCGAAAATATCTAATTACAAGGGTATCAAGACTATTCAATGGGAAAACAATAGTCTCTGCAGCAAACGGTGCTGGGACGACTCTCCATCCACACACAAAAGAACGACGTTAAAACCCCTAAATCACACCATATATGAAAATAACTCAAAATGGATCAATGATCTAAAGAGATAAAACTACAAAAACTTTTAAAAGAAAACACAGGGGTAAATTTTCATGACCTTAGGTTTAGCAATGGACTCTCAGATGTGACACCAAAGTCAAGAGCAACAGAGGAAAAAAATAAATTGGACAAAATTAGTAACTTCTGTGCATCCAAAGAATTTTATCAAGAAAGCAAAAAGACAAGCTACAGAATGAAAGAAAATATTTGTATGTCATATCTCTGATAAGGATCTAGTATCCAGACTACGTAAAGAACTCTTACAACAATAAAAGACTACCCATTGCAAAAGTGGGCAAACGACTTGAACAGACATGTCTCCAAGGAAGAATACAAGTGGTCAATAAGTATATGAGAAGATGCTCAACATCATTAGCTATTAGGAAAACGCAAATCAAAACCACAATGAAATACCACTTCACAGCAACTAGGACGGCTACAATGAAAAAAAGAAAGGGAAATAACAAGCACTGATGAGGATATGGAGAAACCAGAAGCTTCATACACTGCTGGTAGAATGTATCGGGCTGGCCAAGAAGTTTGTTCAGGTCTTTCTGTAACATCTTACAGAAAGACCTGAACGAACTTTTTGGCCAACCCTATAAATGGTGCAGCATTTTGTAGAAAAGTTTGGCGACTCCTCATAAAGTTAAAGGATAGAATTATCCAGCAACTGGGAAACGGACCCAGCAATTCCACTCCTAGGTATCTACTCAAAAGAGCTGAAAACAGGGCTTCCCTGGTGGCGCAGTGGTTGAGAGTCCGCCTGCCGATGCAGGGGACATGGGATCGTGCCCCGGTCCGGGAAGATCCCACATGCCACAGAGCGGCTGGGCCCGTGAGCCATGGCCGCTGAGCCTGCGCGTCCGGAGCCTGTGCTCCACAACGGGAGAGGCCGCAACAGTGAGAGGCCAGCGTACCGGGGAAAAAAAAAAAAGAACTGAAAACAGATGCTCAAATCCTTATACACGAATGTTCATAGAAACACTATTCACAATAGCCAAAAGGTGGAAACAACCCAAATGTCCACTGATGGATGAATGGCTAATCAACATGAAATACTACTCAGTCATAAAAAGGAATGAAGTATGTATATATGCTACAAATGGATGAATCTCTAAAACATTATGCTAAGTGAAAGGAGCCAGATACAGAAGGTCACATATTGTATAGTCCCATTTATATGAAATACCCAGAATAGGTAAATCCTAGAGACAGAAAGGAGACGGGAGGTTTCCAGGGCCTACGGGGAAGAAGGTATGGAGAGTGACCGCTTAATGGATACAAGGTTCCCTTTTGCAGTGATGCCAATGTTTCCACCAAAGTGATGGATGCAAGGCACTGTGAATGTACTAAATGCCACTGAATTACACATTTAAATGATTAATTTATGTCATGTGAATGTCACCTCAATAGAAAATAACATTTAATTAAACGAAAGAGTATACAGTGAGAAACGTATTATTACCAAGAAATGGTCAATCTACACTCATTAGACCTTTCACTCTGGAAGTGGGTTAACCAAAAGCTATCTGAGATCCGTCCAACTGATGAACTAATTCTCTTTCTTCTGAGGGAATTAAATCCTCTTGTTAGTCTGAACGACAGGCAATAATACAATAAAGAAAGGGGTAAGAAAGAATGTCCAGCCACAGGGACATACACAGCAGACTTAGGCAGGTTTGTTTTTTTTTTAACCATTTTAAATTATAAATAAAAGACAACTCACCCTCACGATGATGCCCATGCGTTTGCTTTCGTAGGTGAAAGGGAAGATCTGCAAGATGGTGAAGTTCAGGATCTGGTCACCAGGGGTCCTCAGCTGCATGGAAGACTGGTCACGGCCCACCAGTGTTAAGCCCACACTTTCGGTCCACTGCACCAGGGCCACCTAAATGTGACAAGGGTCGAAGGTCAGATACACAGCCGAGGATCCTGGTTCACAGGTCAAGCAAATGAACATAAAGGTGGACGGGGGAGCAGAGACAGGTGAGGCTGAGCAGGGCCTGCATCCCTGGAGGAGGTCGTGCTGGCCGGTGACTGCCCCGCCCCCGCCCCTCTAAGCCTGCGGGGGCTCCGCGCTCACAGCTGCCGTCTCTCCTGGGCCCTAAAGCAGGCCACGCGCCAGAGCTGTGGCAGAGAGAACCGCACAGGCTCAAGGATCAGCACAACCAGAGATCACGTCTGGAAGGAGCAGCACCAGGCCAACCACAAACATGGGGAAGCCAGGAGCATGACGCCGGGGTGGGGCGACTCACCTCCAGGCTCCCTGTTAAACTCACACACACTCAGCCAGGAGGGCATCTACAGCAGTGCTCGACTGGGCAGCTCTGCCCTCCAAGGGGCACATGGCAACATCTGGGGACAGTTTTGGCTTCACAACTGAGGAGGGGGTGGATATTTTCTACTGACATCTCGTGGGTGGAGGCCAGGGATTCTGCTAAACATCCTACAACACACAGGACAGCCCCCATGACAGAGAATCACCCCACCCCACATGGCAGGCAGTACTGACGGGGAGAACGCTGGTCTGTACAGATGAGGAAACTGAGGCTTGCGGAAGCTCATTAAGTTGCCTGAGGTGATGCTCCGGGGCAACGGCAGGCTAGGCAGGAACCTGGATCCTCCACCACCCGCTACACTTCCTAGGACCACGGTTCTGTCACCAGCTGGAATCTTCTCACAGCCCGAGCAAGGTTTGCTTCACTTCCAGTCAAAGGCATGGAGGATGCAAATTCCAAGACAGGGGCCAGACCAGTGGGAACTGCGGCAGGCAGGAGCCAGTGCCCCCTCTGAAGGAGGCTGCCCCGCGGGAATGCGGACCCAGGGTGGCCAGAGCTTCCAGTTTCTCAAGAAAAACCAGAAATCTGACCTTGTCCCTGAGATCTCTAACTTTTCAATGTAAGCCACTAAGCTGCACGTTTTAAGCGCCCATGAAGAAAATAAAACACGTCTACAGATGAATCTGGTCTGGGGTCTTCAAGGAAATAAGGAAATAGGAGTGGAAAAGGCGGGGACAGAAGGGGGAGCTGGGGAGGGGAGACCACCAAGCCCTCACCGCCACTGCCACAGGAAGGGGGCTGCGCCATGGGGTGGGGGGGAGAGAGGGGTAAGTACAAAGAGCCTACAGCGTCCGAACCACAAGGTCATCGTGTTTACTTGTCAGCACAGCCCATGGAGGCAGGAAGTACCAAGCAGCTCTACCCGACGGATGAAGAAACAGAGTCAGAGAGGCCAGGTGAGCTGCTCTCGGCAGGCAGCTACCATGGGCTGAGATGAGATCGAATCCTGTGTCTAGCCGACCCAAATAGCCCAAGGGAAAGTGCCAATCCAAATGCCTCTTCTCTAAACACGGGTGCACACACATCAGTGCATCCTTAGTGGGTGTGCCCGGTCACCCGACTCACTGTCACCGTTAGAAAGTTGACGGGGGGGCATGGTAGGCATAGTAACAGCTCCCAAAGGTGCCCACCTCCTAATCCCCACTGACCTCCACCTCCAAAAGAAAGGGCTAATCAAGTTTGGTCTTGTTTGTTTTGCTACTAACCTGCATAAGTCTTTGGAAACTCATTCATATAGTTGTTTCATCTAATCACTCTGAATTTCAATATGGCCTGTCCTATCTGCTAACAATCTTCTTTCCAAGTTTAAAATGAACAAATCAGTAAACACTGATATAAATTTAAAAATCCCATCCATATAAATATTAAAAACTTTGGGTACGTGCACTAAAACGCTTATAGGATGATACACATGAAGAGAAATTACTTCACTCTTCTCTCTATATACTACTGAAATATTTTAGTGTGTACACGCACTTCTTTTATTTATTTATTTATTTATTTTGCTGTACACGGGCGTCTCACTGTTGTGGCCTCTCCCGTTGCGGAGCACAGGCTCCAGACGCGCAGGCTCAGCGGCCATGGCTCACGGGCCCAGCCGCTCCGCGGCATGTGGGATCTTCCCAGACCGGGGCACGAACCCATGTCCCCTGCATCGGCAGGCGAACTCTCAACCACTGCACCACCAGGGAAGCCCCATCTTTTATTTTTAATATTTTTAATTTTAATTAAGTAAATAAATATCCCAACACAATACGAGATTATTACAAATACGTAGCTTGACTAAATTTACATCCTCCTCTACATACCAGTTTAGTAACAAAGAAAAAGGAAATTCTTCTTCGGATGCTTTCCAACACGACCGCCAGGGAAAAGATTTTTTCATCCCTGCTTTTAAACAGCTGTTGTTTCACCCCTTAAAAACGTATTTAATTGCTCTGAAAAGATGTGAAGAGTCTGTAATACTGGGCTTCAAGGAGATACACTAATTCCCCCAAAGCCTGTTCTTAACTTCAATCAAGAAAGGATCTGAAACTCCAGAACGGGAAGTGGCTTTCAGGGCCGTAGAGGCAGTTCTGGCCTTGGCCAGCCTGGGTCCCCCTGCCGCGGACCCCACAGGACTGTGTTTGGAGGGGAAGTTGAACCATGAATCTGAAATGATCAACAGTGACAAGTGTTCCCGGGGAAGCATGAATTACAGCTGAATGGAAACATCTTCTAACCATGCTTTCTTCTACAGCAAACCCCTCGAGGGAGTTAAGGAACCTACTTTGACTGTGCTGGTTGCCCCACCTCCCATCTCCCACCCCTTGGGTCCAAGGTCCTAATCAAAACCTCACAAGTCCCCTTGGGGGCTGATTCCAACAGGATATGAGCCCTGCAGGGGGGCCTTTCTTTCTCACCTTACACTCCCTTATTCCAACTTTAACATTAAGTCAGCTTTAATTTAAAGCTGCTTTCTACCACAACATATAAAATCCCCCAGGTCCTACTGAGAAGAGAGCAGTTTAGAACTGGGGAGCTCACTAACCCTTCTCAACAGCAGCAGGGAACAAACATTTCAGCGGTCAGGTGGGACGACTCCATCCCTTCCTGAAACAAGATGATGTAAATGAGGCTACTTCTGCTAGAGGGTCTGAGCTTCAATTCAAAGGAATCATCCTGTATTGCCAAATCAGAAAGGATTTCAGGGTCTTTTTTTTTTTTTCTTACGGCCGCCCGCACCCCCCTGTAGTGGAAGCGTGGAGTCTTAACCACTGGACCGCCAGGGAAGTCCCCAATCTCAGGGTCTTGAGCCTCGCTGTCCTTAACAGCCGGAGCTGGGGTCTCAGGGGGCGTCGGGTCAGACTACCCGGAGGTCAGAAGAGCAGCAGAAAAAGAAACCTCGTAAAAGGTAAATGAATGAACAAATAAATGAGAGGCAAAAGCAAATGCTAGAAACCAAGAAAGGGCCGGAGCGGGGGATCTGGGCTCCACGAGTCAGCTGTGCGTCTGGTTTGGGTCAGGAAATTAAAAAAAGAGCCTCCTACTCCACCCTTCCGCCTCCAAAAAAAAAAAAAAGCCCATCTGAAGAATTCTTGTCAGAGCTGTCCATGAAAGGGCTTTTTCATCATTTGTTGGTCAGCAATGAACCACCTGTGACAAGCTTTAATAATCTTCCCTTTGTACCTGGGAATGTGTGCTTGGGAATTACGCCAGATAGGCTAAAGAGCCTTGAATTCCTGTCAAAAGCAGGATGCATATGAAATACAAGAACATGCATGAATCTGCTATCTGATTAAAACGGTTCTTTGGGGGCATTCAATCAGATAAACACCCAGGCTTATAAAGAATGGCCAGTCTGCCTGAAGCCAGGCCTTTCAAGCTTATGAATACCCACAGACCTAGGTATTCTTTACTTTATTAAGAAATAGGTTCCAAAATGTGCCACATGGTGGTTTGCAGGTTTGAATGCCAACAGGAGCAGGGCAGACAGCGGACCGGGGCAGGGCCGGCCACCTAGGGACAGGGCTTGGGGGAGGGGGCTAACGGCTGCCAGGTCGAAACTGGGCCCAGTCTTTCCAGATCTGATCTTTCTCAGGAGAAGCTGATTTTTATAGAACACTGAGTGATTTTTAAATATTGCTGCTTTTCTTTTAAACACAGCATGGAGCAAACAAAAAACAGCCTGCTACATTTTTTTTTTTTTTTGCGGTACGCAGGCCTCTCACCGGTGTGGCCTCTCCCGCTGCGGAGCACAGGCTCCAGACGCGCAGGCTCAGCGGCCATGGCTCACGGGCCCAGCCGCTCCGCGGCATGTGGGATCTTCCCGGACCGGGGCACGAACCCGTGTCCCCTGCATCGGCAGGCGGACTCTCAACCACTGCGCCACCAGGGAAGCCCGAGCCTGCTACTTTTAAGCATCAGTGGACAAGGTGGTAGAATAAAAAGCCAGTCCCTGATCCGAATTTCCTGATCCTATACTTGAAATTCAGCCTCTTGGGACTTAACTCTGCTAAAAACAAGTATTTGAAAAGGAAGAATGGCATCATCTCCATAAAAGTTTAGCCACTTAGAAACGACTATTTACTTAAGTCCATTCTGGACCAATACTAATGTGATACGGGACAGGACTTTTGCATGTATGGCCGCGGATGAGCTAATACCAAGGAAGGCTCATTTGACAGTTTTCTACAGTGCCCCCAAAATCCCATAGTCCTGCCTGACACAGGACCCCTATCTTCTGAGCAACCAAAATCTTCTTTCAAAATTCTACCCCTGTGGTTAGTACGTAACATTGATGGAGGATTTTTTCCTTAATTTCCCGACCGCTGTTCTTTGACCTCACCCTCAGGTCCAAGGCCCTGGCAACGTGATGGTAGAGCCCCACCAGCCTCCTAAATCTCTCTGGGTCAACACTCCACACTCCATCGTGCACACATCTGAATGCTGGCATTGTCTGAAGCCTGGAGCTGAGGCTCAGGCACGAGGAGGCGTTCAGGGGACCGACAGGGATGTGGTTATGGAGGAAAAAGAAACCCCAAGGCTGCAAAGGGACGGGAGATTGCCA